AGGCATCATTTTGAAAGGAGGTTTTAAAAATTCGGTAAAAATGGGGACATAGGGAGACGTGAAGAAACCACACAGGATTAGTTGGCTCCTGGGTGTTGATTCCTACCCGACCCATGCAGCAGCAGCTGTGGTTTGGACCCTGAGTGGTGCATGTCCCCCTTCCACGTGGATCATTGCGCCGTCTCACTTCTGTTATCGATAAGGCATTTGGTTCAGGGAAGGGGAGCCGAGAACCGTTGCTTCAGCGGGGTAAATGGCTAGCACATCCCCAGTGGGTTTCCTGACCCTTTCACCATGCTGTGTCCCGTGCTTCAGGGAAGTCGGAGTTCTCGTCTCTGGGTGGGCACATGGCTGGCGGACAGGGGTGCAGAAGCAGGCAACAGGCTTCCCTGGCATTTAAGTCCAAGCCTTCTCCTATGTAGCACCCTCTTGGGCAAGGCAGTTCACCTCCCCTTGCATCTTTTCCCATTCATATGAAATGGGAGCGATGGTGCTTGCTTCCCTCATGTCGGACCGGATTCACTAGCTTTTCAAGCAGCTTTTTCAGTGGCAGAGGAAAAAATATATTTATTTTTAGGAGGGGCACGGGAGATAGGAAGGCGATTACAACATTGGCAAAACCTCAAATGATGAAAGAGGACTTTTGGTATTTCCCTCAGCTAAACACAGCTCTTACTAAACACTTTGTATTATCTTCCCAGAGAAGCTTCTTGTGTGTTGGTGCAGCCCCAGCAGCAGGGGACACGCAACAAAGCCAGGGAACGGTGTGCTTGAGGCACCACTACAATTTTCCTTTGAAGATTTCCAGTGCATAGCTCAGCTCGTATCAGTTCTGATAACGCCCAGGTGCTAACATCGCAGTCCTTGTTATCTGTGCTGACCTGCCCTACAGGCGAGGGTAAAGATCAGGCGTGTTCATTACAAGAAATGGCCTCAACTTAGACTGTCCAAACAGATTTTGGTGTGGAGAAGGACCAAGCAGTGATCGAACCAACCCAGCACAGGCTGCATGTGGCATGACAAATAGATAGCTTTATGAAGGTGTTTAGGTTTGACAGAGCCTGGATCAGTAACTGTTAATGCTTGTTTTACTCTTTTTCGCTATATAGTGTCCTGTGATGTCTCAGAGGGGAAGGGGAGTTGAGTTCTTTAGTCAAACTGCTGTGCACAGGAAGCCATGTATGGAGCAAAGACTAAGTGAGGGCTGAAGCAGGTATTTTGTCATGTTGAGGACACTCTTCCCCCACCCCTTTTCCCCTCCACACACAGAGGACTGCATCCCTCAAGTGTTTTCTGTTGTCTGCCGCAGCGGTGTTTCAGAGTAGAAAGGGACAGACCTGCCATTTTGAAAGGGACAGCCCTGCCATTTCCTTCTGGGAGACAACATGTGACACGTACGGCAGGTCTGACGGTCAGGAAGTTGCTCTGAAGTATTTAACCTAAGACTTTCTGGCTCTTGATTCTGTTGCTTTACCTCTATTTCCCACTCCTTTCCCCATCTTACTTTGTTTTCTGATCATCTGTAGATTGCTGCATCTATTCTTATTTTTAAAACATCTCAACCCCCAAGACATTTGTTAAGTAGTGCACCCGGTCTTCCCTTCCTGCCCCAACCCTCCAAAAAGGTGGTTGATGTCCCAAAGGTAAGACTATATTAGACCAAAATAGAGCCAAGAGCAAAGACTTGAGTTCCCGCCTGCCAATACTCTGCTCTGTTTCTTCCTGAGAGCTTTTCACAGGCAGCGTGAGCAGGACCCAGAGACTCGTTACGGACTTTTGCATTAAAAAACAGATTTAGTGGTCCTGTGCAACAGGAACGAGAAGTTCTGTCATTTCCCCATTTGCTTTGTCAGTGGCGGGCAGAGCTGCTCTGTGCTTTCCTGCTGGCATAACTGGCAAGCTCTTTGCTCTAGCGGGACACACGAGGATTACCAGCATTAGGGAAAAAAGGGCAGCAGGCTGACCTCGCCAGCTGATTTCCATCATGTCTCTGACAGGAAGACTCTATTTTTTAAAAACCCACAGAAGCAAGATAGTTGGGATCGCTTTCTTAGAGTGGTTAGTATGGTTTTGCTGCTCCTTAGGAGCTAGTACCTACAGACTTAGCCATTCTGCTGTCAGGGATATGCGGTGTGGAAAGCAGTAACTGTAACCATTTTAAGATCCCAAAGAGGGAGAAAAAGGCAGCAAAACCCCGTTCTTGCAGTTCATGTAATACTGTGAGTCTGCTGATCTTCAGGGGTTTTGTGGGAAGACCTGGCTTCTTGATGGATGATAGATTTGAGAATCATTTTTCCTTCCAGTGTTACGACTGATGAAAAGAACTTGAAATCATGAAGCTTGTATCACAGACTGTTAATGTGAGGAGTTCATATTAAAAATGTATAAAGCTGTCACTGCTGAAAGCTAAGCCACTTGTAAAAAAGCAGCCACTAAACCTTCTTTGCACTCACGGTACAAAAAGGATCGGAAATTGTTGTGTTGTTTGTTAGTTTACATCTTCAGATTTGGTCCAAGCTGTTTAATTCCCACAGCTGTACCAAACCTTGCTGCAGATGTTGTGAGTTAAGGCATCCACTGAAAGTGCTTGTGGCTTTCTGCAGCCCATATTCAACAGCAGTCATGGCAATTCCTCACCCCAGCCTCTCTGTAGGAGCTTGGGAGCATGGAGACATTTGAACTTTGTTTGCCCAGCGAGGGGAAGCAATCCAAGGCTAAATCTCTCTTTGGTGGCTCCCTATGGTGCGATGGGTTCCCTAAGCTGCAAAGGTGCAGCAACCAGGTTTATTTTGGGAAGGCTCCCCTCTTCCTTGTGCCTACTGACAGATTTCATTTCATTCTGTGACATCTCCATTCCCATGTCTTTTTTCTGCAACCAGCTCCTGACAGATCTTCATTTTGCCGGTTGCTGCGCCGGCTCAGCAGAGGGAAAGCTTTTCCAGGGCTGAGGGAGGTTCTCTGCTCATTTTGCCGCTTCCATTCTGGGCAGCCTACTGGAGACAGCTCCAGCCCCCAGGCCCTGTGCTCTCCCTACACCACAATGTCCTCATCTGGGACATTTGGGGAGTGATGGGGCCACTGCTCTTTTCAGTAAAGCTCCCTCCTGTGTCAGGTAAGGGTACCACAAAGAGGCCCTGGCTCCCGCCCCACTCCTCTAGCAAGCAGCAGAGCAGTGTGGAGAAAGTTCTTCCAAGTCCTCTGTTCCCTGTCTCAACTGAGAGCCTGCAGAAACCTCCTGGGGTTCAAACATGTCCCCTCCCTAAACAGGCAAGGTCAGAAGTCCTTGCTTCCTTTGCGCTGTGGTCAGCCAGACATTGCGACTGAGCGCATTTCCAGGTCTAGTATCCCAGCTGCTGCATCCTTTCTGGAGCCACGGGGAAGGATGCCCTTGCCCAAACTACAGAGTGTCTTGCCTTCAGCATAGGCACTTACCCTGTCCCTAGGAAAACTGCACTAAGGATAGTGACCTGTCACCCCAGAGGACTTAAGTGGAGGGGACGGAGGAGAAGGTACTTGGTACAGTGCAGCCGAGAGGGCTGAAATTGGTAACCTTTATGGTCCTCAGAGCCAGCAGGACAGTAAGCCGCGCAGAGGTGGGCTGGGCTGAGCAAGGTTTCTGCCCATCCTTGCAGCTGTGGAGCCAAGATTAAGTACAGGCATTATGCCATGGTTAGCTCTGCCAGGAAACAATTTCCCTTTCTCAGGAAGCTCTGCTGCTTGGCTTTCATTCCAAAAGTTAAAACATTCCTTTTCCACTCTTCTTTTTTCTTTTTGCTTAATAGCGCATTTCAACCTCAAATACACTTGTTTTCAATGTTTCCTCCCAAACTCATCAAAATGACACATTCACACAGAGGGTCTGTGTAGATAAAGGGAAGAGTATTTAAATACTCTAGGAGAGGTACCATATGACCCCATTTTACTCCTCAGGTCTGGGCAGATGTAGGGCCTGCCTGACAGTAAATAGCATGTCTGCAGCAGAGGATCCTGGAAAGGAGCTGTTTTGCCAGACCTCTACATCTCAGTGACTGGATGAGGCCTCCTTCTTGAAGGACAGAAAGGAACAAACCCAAACTCCATGGGCAGTGCTGTGACCCTTACTTGTACCTAGCGGAGACTCCAGAGTAGATGGTTTGCAGAATTAAAGCTTGTCCTGTGTCGCTGGAGAAGGGATGATTCTTCTGAGCCCCTTCTGTTCCTCGCTCCCCATTTTAACCTTTGGGTGTCGGAGTATCCCAGGTCATGGTGATGGCGTTTCGGAAAAGCTTTCTTTCCTGTATTCTGCAGTCTAATTGGCAGGACGTGTTACTGATGAGCAGCATGCTATGCATACCTTCTCTCATGCATTCCCAGGATCTGCTTATCTAAAGAACAGCGGGAAACATCAGCACTGCTTTATTAATAAGTGCTGCTAGGAAATTCTGCTGGTTTTCATCATGGAAATGACCAAGCCCATGCAAACTAGGGGTGGTTCTCCTCTCTGTTCCCAAGTGGTTGGTTAACAGTTGTAGAGAGGTGGATGCTCTTTTTCCTAAAACAACAACTCTGCAGCCTGGGTTTGGGATCTGAGCTAGCAGCTGTACCCAGCAGCAGGAGAACCTGTTTGGAGGACTTGTCTGTTTTACTGGTGAAGCCTTCTTGCTACCTGCAGGTGCTGTAATACGGCAGAGACACAGCTTGTCT